TATATGCACTATCTCATTCAGTCCTTCCCCCAACCCCATCATTTCACTTACAGATGAGGACACTGAGGTGCAGATGTTATAAAAGTAGCCCAAGGACACATAGACCACAGCTGCACTGTCCATGCTTTTAGCTATCATCCTGTGCTGCCTTTTGTCACAGCCACTCCCTGCTACCAGCTCACTCCTTGTGGTTCTTGCAAGGAAGGTGGTCCAGACCAACCTACTTTTCATACACCCACCACAATTGGATTTTCAATTGGAAGTCACCCAGCAGCCTTGACTAAGATTCCTCACTGTTTTTCCATTGATTTTACAGCACCATTCCAAGAGATGAACCTATTTGATAATACTGGTTTTCAAGTTTAAGTAGGTTTTCACCGTCCATCTGTCACAAGCAACCAGGTTATTTCATTCTCTCAGGTCCTATCTCTTCTCTGTCATAGAGTCTCTCCCATATAGTGGGTTTGAAAGATTCTGTGGATGAGAGCCTTACCTGAGCCTTCTCTGTGGAGTCTCATTGTCTGCAAGCAAATGGCGCGCATAAGAGGATGGTACAGAGGGACAGGATGCCCCAAGTAGAGATGGTGCCAGATTGCTCATTGCTTGATGAGTCAGTTCAAGATGTGACCAAGGATGAGCACCCCAGAGATTTACTCATGGATATATCTCTGGATTTGCCTCCACCATCTCCATCCAGATTTAGACAAGGACTTAGAAGGCAAGCAAGAACCGGGACCAAGTGCAGGTGTCCCCACAGCTGCTCTTCACCCATTTGCCCCAAAAGACAAAGGGGTTCGACCACCACTGGCAGGCAACACTTCCAAAACTTCGTTGATCAGAAGTCTTTTTTTATAGAGCTTCAGAAAATGTGTAAAGGGCACATTTTGGGAAGCGAGACCTAGAGATAACCTCTCATCAGGGCACTACACTGGCTAGCTACAATATTGGGATGGCTAAGCCTGCAGGAGGAGGAGTATCTGACTGCTGGGGGAGGGTGGCTACTGTTAACCTAAGTCTGTATCTGTTCCCTCAAGTTTCTGACAGAAGCGACAGTGAATAACAGAGAAACACTCTTCCCTCCTGCTCTGTCTGGCTGACTCCTACACCGGCTCTGGACCTCAGTTCACCTGGGACTTTCTAGAGACCGCTCTCTCTCTGATGGCTTGAGCACGTCTCTCTTGCCGAGTGCCTCTTGCTCCAGCATTTATCACGGCTGTAATATTAACGGAATGCTCAGTCCATCAACGTCTATCTTGCCATTAGACCCTACGTCCCTGAAGGCAGGGAACGTGTTCCCCTGAAACAACACAGAGAGAGGCCACGCTTTGGTCTTTCCTGCTTAGAAGGGTCCTGGTAGGACTGGTTCTTGTCGAATGAGTTGGCAAGGATATTGAGGCCATTTTGAAAGGTATGTAAAAGTTCAATGCTAGCAATGCACTTGTGGAAAAGTCTTTACATCAACAAGTCGCACTTCTGAGGTAGCCAAGAACCATTTGGGAAAATGTTCAAAACCTAAATACACTTGACATTAAGTAAAATATAGACATTAAGAAGAAATAAGTAAAAATAGGTAGCTCTTAAAAGAGTTATACATATCTTCTGTCGCTTCCTCTGGAAATTCTCAACCAAGTCATACTTCCATAATTCTATTGCAAACACAAAACCTTAATTCAGTACTGGGCCACGCAGCTTCGTTGCTCAGGGTGTGGTCTGCAGGTCCTCCTTACTTTGGGTTATATAAAAATGCAGATTCCCGAGCCCCACCCCAGGTCCTCCAAATCAGAGACTCTGGACAAGGGTAAAGCGAATTCCAAGGACCTCGCATTCAAACAAATAGCCTAGTTGGTTCGGATGTGCACTGAAATGGAGTCAAAGGCACAATAGCATGGACTGTATGACCCCACGGTCCATTTACGCTATACACTCAAGATGTTTCTATTGCCTTTGTGTTTCTAGAAGAGACACAAATCATACTTTTATGCAGACCTCATACCATTCACAAAAGTTCAGTGAGGCAGTATTTATTCTTAAGATATAAATAACTGTGTAGAATGAAGAATAAATTATCCAAAAATTACAAGATATTCTTTTCAGAGTACTTACCAGGTTCTGTGAGAAGATCTGACTGGGAAACTATAAAGGAATAAAAGAAAAATCAGACGTCTGTGGTTCGTCCACAGGGATCCTCACCAAGAAATCCACCTTTGAACCCTTGCTTTTCTTACACTTGACTCTGAAGTTGAAATGCAGCAACTTCGGGGACATCAATGTCAACAGATCTATAATCTGATTTCAAAATTTAATTCAAATTGATAAAGATTTCTGGAGTCTCTCGTGTGTGCACCGCAAAATACTAAACTAGTTCCAGCAAATGTGGTGATAAAAAAAAGTGGCTCTTCATACCTTAAAAACAAGTTCAATGAAACACCCTTTAGTAATTTGTGCATTTGTTTCTGCATATTTCCTGCTGCAGATATTGCTTTCTTTCATTAAAATAGAAATTATCCTTTCATCACTGTAGAAGAACAAATTAGGCTTGTGCCAAAATGCTTTTCTTATTTCTTTGAGAAAAGTTAGCTTATGCAGCTTGTATTAACGAGGTTGAGAGTTTTGATTTAATTTACCAGTTCTCAACTAACGGAATGGCATGGCTAAGAGCACAGATTAGTAACTATTTGATCATTTAATCCAACAAAGTCAAGTGATTTTGTGTTGACAGAGACAGTGGGAGATAAAAATTTCTCTCCTTTCCCAGAAAAGGACAGAGATGATCATTACCGAGACTTACTACCCTTCATAGGGTTATTGGGAAAATTAAATGAGAAAATCCAGATAAAATGCTTATTGCACTGACTGGCACATTGCCGGCAGCTAACAAGTGTGAGCTACTATGGCAACGAAATGATGATGATGACGGTGATTATACAATTTCCATCACTCGTTGTCTTAAGTATTTCATTATCTCATTTGGCCTCATGGCAACCCTTGATGGAAGAGTTCCCTCGTCTTAAGAGAAGTAAACTGAATCACTTAGAGGGTAAACAACTTGCCCCAAGGTACCACTATTACTTCCATGTCCCTGACGGAAACACCAAGGTTGGAGAAGGATAGACACCCTTACTATTATGCCTCTGTCCTGTGCTGCATCATTTGTACTACCTCTTGGAGGCCCACCTGAGCAGATGACGCTGGCGTCTTCCCCGTGGCCGCAGTTGTGCGAGAGCCAGCCGTTGTGGGGGCAGCTCCACAGGTAGGACTCGTTTCCAGAGCAGCCCACGTCGTCCAGGACAATAGGCCCTGAGCCCTGACCAAAGCGGGCACTTCCTGGCGCTGACAGAGCTGGGCCACAGTCGAGCTGCCTGCACACCAAGTTGGCATCATTGGTGTCCCAGTCGTCGTCACACACGGTGCCCCACGAGCCCCGGTACAGGACCTCCACCCGGCCCTGACACCGGCCCTCTCCGTTCACCAGCCTCAGGGCCAAACCCGGTTCCATCCCTAGAGAATTGCAGAGCATTTCTCTTGTGAATTCTTTGAAGAACAAGGGCTCAGGCCTTTAAAGCATTCATAATTCTTCCCAGTAGGCATATATCAATGAGACAATCACTAACTGGCAGTAATCCTAAATATGCCATTAGTTAGAGTCTTTCATATTATACATACAGTTTCCTCTCTGCCAAAACCCAGTCCACTAGAGCTTCAGAATGAATAAAATACCTCTCAGTTTGCATCCAGGGGTGGATCTCGAATCTTTTCACATGTTCCTTCCCTAGCATACCATGGGCAGAGCCCCCACTCCCTTGAACTGGGCCTCATGGACACCCATGCTGATGAGTCACCTGATAACCCCAGGATGCCCTAACAGGAGGTTTCACATTCGTCTGAGGCTCTGAGGTTGGCTTGGAGAGAATTTTACATTGGTCCTCCTGGCTGCACTCCAGATCTTTGGGGCCATAATCGCCCAGGTCAGCACAGAGCTGTGCAGATGGGACAACTGGCACTGTGGACAAGAGACTGATCCCACTAGCCACTGACCCAAAACATTCAAGCTCTTGGAGACCCCATGTTCTGACTGATCCCTCCAACCCACTGGAACATGGACAATGAAGGAGGCTCCCAATCAAGCCAGGCACTCTGGTTCACAACGGATCTCCCTTTGCACATGTTCGCAACACTCTCTCTCACTCCATCCCTTAAAAAGTATTCCTGAATAGGAGTCAAACCCACGAATATACTTTTATATCCTGACCTGCAGAGAAGGACCCATATGAAATTATTCATTTCCTATTGCAGCAGGAGTCTCAGTGTTTGTGATAGTAGTCTCTGCAAACACAGATTGTAGAAGGAGAGAAAAACAGAAACTACAAAGTTAAGTCTTCTCTGAGGAGACTCAAGGACTGAAAGTAAACTAGAATCTGCTAAAGAGATGACATTTCTGAGCTTGAATTTTATCTTGCTTTGTGACTTTAGAAAAGTCAAGAAATTGTCTAGCGTAGAGTGCTTCTACTCTAAAAGGCTATTTTAGGGGGAAATATCTCTGTATAACCCTACTGACGCTGATTCTGATGTTCCCACATGTGACCTATGCAGGGCTCCAGGGGATAGATGTAAAGATGAATTTCCCATCCTTATTCTTCTAACTGATTATTCTTGTCTAATTGCATCGGCCAGTACCAATGGCTAGTACATCTGGTATTGACATATGTACCATCAGGATTCCCAATTAATCCATGCTGACTCCTGGGCAGGGGCCATGGTGTGTTGGCTGTCCTTCTTCTTGTCCTAGGGCCAAAGTTTCCCACAGGAAATGGGCAGTGACTTTCCTTCCCAGAGCCCAGGCTGCCAGAACCACAGGCTGTATTGACTGTACATCCCAGCTCTTTCACTAGGGGCCCCAGCGGGGTACATGGGACCTCTGATGTCCACAGACTAAAGGACCATGGCTCCTCTATGTTGAGAAGGAGCCAAGGTGGCCTAATATGGGCGGCTCAGGAAGTGGCACAGGCAAGGATTCTGCCCCAGAAGGTTTGCAACTGCCTCTCTATGCCCTGCATCCAGAGAACCAGCACCCCAGCCTGGCCAGAGAGCAGCATGCATTGGTGACACCCACAGGGGTGGGCACTGAGTGTGGGCAACAGGACATCCCTGACGCTTGACACCAACCTCCAGCTTGGAGTTTCTTGGCGATGCCTCTGCAGGTTGATTCCTTCCCAATCTCAGGGACATTGTCTATGGAAAGGATACACATTCAGACCTGAGGGCTTGTTCAGAGGGCCCCCCTTGGGAGCTGAGAGTCCCCACCTCTTACACCTTCTGCATCTCTTCTGGATCAGAGATGAACCTATGGGTGCATTAGGGCAATGACCCTACTGGGATTCCACGTGATAAAAATTACCTTCCACTGCAGTTGGCAGGGGTGCCTCCATGGAAAACAAAGAAGCTACGAAGTGGAGAAAAGAAGGGGTCATTCCAGGTTGGCCCTCATTTGAAGAGGGTTGGCCCTCTGCTGAAACAAGAGGTTGGATGCAGAGATCCAGAAAACCCGCCCACTCCTAAAAGGCTATGTTTCTTTCTTGTGAAATAGAACTCATTTCTCAGTCATTTTGCCAAACCTCGTTTAATGCTGAGATGCCACCAGGGACATTCTTTGCTCCTGTCATCATCCTCCCTCCTCCTCTATTCCACAATCTCCATCCAAAAATTCACCCACTTGATTAACATCCCCACCGATTCACCAGATTCGACTTCAAATATCAACTGCCTACTTCTAAGGCTCAAACACACCCCCAAATGACAAATGTCTACCATCGCTGAGATATTTTGAAAGGTGACGCCAACTTGGAAGAAGGACAGTTTCCCGAGATACAACCCCAAATGCTGAAATAAACCCTCTCCAAAGTGACAGCTTGGAGGGCCGCACTCTTTTGGGTAGTCCATTCTCATGTGGTGGTTGGATTTCCAGGGTCACATCCTGTGCACGGTGGCATGTGCACACCCCAGGCCACATGGCAAATGCCAGAGGTTGCTGTAAAGATGGATAATTTAACCAGAAACTCCCCCTTGGGGGACACAATGGGTGGCATCCTCAGAGGTTTCTTTGTGGCTTTGAGGACACCGTTGGTGCTTGAACACCTACCAGCACCCTGTGAACAAGGGAGGAAGGCAGCACTGGGATTCACTAGGTCAATTCAGGGAAAATTTCTCTCTTCCACTGAGGGTGAAACTCTCTTTTGCTTGTCACTTAATCCCCAATAAAGAGAACATATTGGTTACTCCTCATTTTGACTTTGGTATGGATTTAAGTTTTAAAGACCAGAAGTCCCCAATCCTTCTCCCCCGCCTTTAAAAGGAGGAGAAAAGGTCACTTAGGAAGGCATTTGGTCATCTCAGGCTAGGGAAGGTCATGATGCTGCTTGAAAGCCACCTCCATCACCCCAGCTTTAGGACTTTAGGCAAGTCACTTGGCCTCTCTGAGCCTCCATTTCTTTATCTGTGAAAAGGGACAGGAATACCTGCCCTCTAACCTCAAATAAGACATGACTTAGAGTAGAGCAGGTAAACTGCAAAGGATTATGCACACGTACCATGATGTTGAGGACAGCAAGATCCCCTGTCCTCAGAGTGGCACAGGTGACAGCATGAGGCAATGTCTGTACTACCTGAACACAGGACTCCGGAGTCTTCCCTGTGGCCACATTCATGGTGGTACCACCTGCTGTGAGGGCAGTTGACAGGTAGGGCTCCCATCCAGAGCAGTACACTGCACCAAAAAGAATGTTCCCTGAGCCCTGACCAAAGCAGGCCCCACCCAGGGACAGCACTGAATGGCCACAGCCGAGCTGCTGACAGATGACATCTGCGTCCTGGGTGTTCCAGCTATCGTCACACACGGTGCCCCAGTGGCCTCCACCCGGCCCTGACAGCAGTCACCTCCATTCATCAGCCTCAGAGGCAAACCCGCATCGACACAGTGGAAAGCCCTGTCTTCCCCCTCTCGGCCCCCTGATTTTCACCACCCAGCACTACCTGTTCTCCTCCTTCCTCTGACAACTGCCCCGTCTCCTTCACCGATAGTTCTCCTCTCTCTGGACCTTACATATTGCTGCTCTCCCATGCGCTGTCTTAGCCCTCTTCTCACCTTCTCTTTCACCCTAAAGGACCTCATATACTCAGAACTGGCCAGGAAGAGGACTCCAAACCCAACTCTCCAGTGCTAATCAGCCCTCACCACTCCAGCCTTAAGCTCTAGACCAACATTTCCAGTGGCCTCCTAGGTATCCCAGCCCACCATCCCATACTCAACACAGACTCTCTCCTCTATTTGAATCAATGGTGCTTTCATGCTCCACAACAACTGTGTTGGAAATTTGCTTGTCACATTTGATCCCTTCTTCTCCTCATCTCTTATATCCAAGGTCACTTTCACCTTACCACCAAGGTCATCTTTCCTTTTATTCCCATTGCCATTTCTCTAGGTTAGACCTTCCTACTCTCGACCGTGCTTACTCCAGGAGCTTCCCAGTTGATCTCTCTACACTTGTCCCTCCTCTCTAATCCATTCACATTCACTTATTCAACCAGAATTTATGGAGTGCCTACTCAGTGCCCACACTCCTGCTGAGATGATTTCTCTGTCTCCCCTAGACTGTCCCAAATTTGGTCTTCAGAAAGTACAGATATGTTCAAGTCACTTTCCTACTCAAAAAGCCTCAATGTACTCTCCACTCCCATCAGGATCAAGTCCAAGATGCCATTCATCCAAAACTGGGCCTTGACGTACTCTTTTAAGCCACGTGTGAGGGGCTTAGAGAGGTGATTCCCACCATAAAGATGACCACAGCTAGGGAGTCAACAGGTACCGTGTTCCTCCCTAACACGATGTGCTAAATCACTCCACACTGATCATGCACAGAAATAGGCATTAGGTCCTGTTGGATCCAGCCCGAAATCTTCACAGCAGGAGCCAAATCCTGGGTGTGGCTTTTCAATGGTTAGTTTGAGATGATAAGAGATTTGTGGTCTGGGAGTGACCAGAGAAGTTAGAATGGGATGGAAGATAAGGGGACAGGTGGTTTCTGTGGTTATTCTAAGAGGAGGGGTCAGGGAAAGAGGGAGGGAAGGCAAATTGGACTGTCTCTGGGGTATTCCCAAGGTTCATGTGGGCTTTCTCAGCCCTCCTTGCTATCCCCTTCTGGTCACTCCTGTGAATGCAGAAGAGCTCTCTATTTCCCTGCCTCAGCCTGTCCCTTGCTGGACGTCAATCACCAGAAAGCTGTCCCTCAAGTCCCTCCGAGGCATGCTCTCAGGGCATGCTCTGAAAAGGCAAGGATTAGCCTCAACTCATTGAGCAAAGAACTCACTGGCAGGGTCAGCTGTCCTGAGTGAGCACCTAAAGGACGCTGACATGTCAAAGGACACACACTCTCATTGCAGAGAAGGAGGAAATACGGATATATTTAGTGAGAATCATGAATAAAGGCAAAGGCAACTGTTCTGGGTTAAAATCTCTGCCTGTCCACTTACCCACCATGTGACCTTAGACATGAAACTATTGACAACTTACCTGTGTACCGGTTTTCCCATCTGCAAAACGGGGGCAATTTTGCTACTCATATCAAAGTGTTGTTGGGAAGATTTCATGATAATAGAAAGTTCTATGTGCATTAGTCAAACACTTATGCGCCCGGCAGTATTTTAAGTGTGTTTTGAATATATTAACTCATTTGATGTATGAAAATAATTTTGTGCAGGATACATAGCAAGCACTGGAAGGATGTTAGCTATCTTCAGGAAAACTGTCATGAAGATGCCAGAGTGAAACCAATCTCATGCAATGAATGACTGAATGAATGAATGAGAGGCAAGAGAAGAATGAAAGGAGAATGAAAGACGGGCCTGGCTGAGTGTGTGCGTGGGACATGCCTAGGGTCTTGGCACCCCTTCACCCCATCCCTGTCCACCCCTGAATTCTCAAGGGCAGGCACTTGCTCTGTGGCCAAGACTGCACTCAGCCTCAATTAGCCAACAGCAGCAGCAGCAGAACTGGCTGAGCAAAACCAGTGAGCAAAACCACAGGAAGACAAGTAAAGAAAAAAGGTCTTAACCATAGGCAGTAGCCTGGGGGTTCCACTGACCTAGAAAGAAACCAAATTCATCTTAGAAAGGAGGTTCCGCTGTTTGTACATGATCTGCTACAGATAATTGGCTTGAGCTTCGCCTAACAGTCATGCCAGGGGGCGCTGTGGTTCAATCTTGGGTTTGAGCGTCTCTGGCGTTCTTGCAGTGTTTGGGGTTTTGCGAGAGCAGATTCGAACAAGTGGGTAGGATACAGGGTGCTCAATAATTTTAGATGTAATAAAGTACATGTCTATTTACCAGGCCCCCGAACATTACAGTCTCTAGTCACAGGATGTAATCTATGCGCAGAAAGAAGGCTGGACCAGAGAAGGCAGTTTAAACTGGTTGTCAACGATTCCAGGCAGCTGTTGAAACCACCATCCAGTCTCATATTTGAGTCTAGGCAGCACTGGGAATAGACAATCCAAGCCACCTAAATAAGTAAATATTTTGGTGGCAGATATCCTGTTCCTTCCAATACATACCCTGAGAAATTTTCACTCTATCTTGAAGAAAACCAAAATCTAGAGAACCCTGGATCTTTATCACCAGTGAGGCCACACTAAAGCTCTCCACGTCCCCTTTACTTGGGGTTAACCCTCAGTGTACCATCAGGGTCCGGCGGACAACATTCTAGTTTTTGAGTCTCTTTTTTTTTGAGGAAGTCTAACTATATTTGTGAAGATGAATATTTCATGACTTTTACATATTTTTAAAGGTCATCTAAAGTTCAAAAGAATATTTATTCATAAAAACATAGAATAAAACTCATTCTGTCCTACAGTCACTATATGGATTCATTGGATCCTTGTACAAATCCAAGATACATTACGGGTTATAGTGATCTCATTTCTCCTATATCTTGAAACATTCTTCTACTTCATCATTAAAGGAATTAGTTCATCAGTTATTAATTCATCAATTACTACTATAAAAGAGACATAGAATAAGATTATGGGAGAATGGTAGCATTTCCTATAAGGAAGATAAAACAGTGAACTAAATCATCAACCGTCAGTGCCCAAAATATTGCATTATCCTTCAAGAGGGTATTTTTTAAAAAGACTGGAGACCTTGTCTTTATAGTGTGCTTTTAGCTTTCAAGGAATGAAGTTAACAATTCAGAATTTTTCATTTTCCATTAACAATGGGAAACAGAAGAAAACTGACAAAGGAAGATGTTTCACAATAATTAGATCAATCAGAAGAGGAACACAAAGAGACAGAGAGCAGTAGCCTAGATGCAAACAGTAACGGTAAAATTGATTGTACAATTGAAATCTCAGACTATGAGTCTTCAGAGGATGATATCTTAGATGAATTTCCTCAAATTCAAGGTCGAGGAGCTGGTGATATAATTCTAAGTGTAAAAATAAAATATGGTCCTCTCATCCACTTCAACAGGCAGGATTACATCGATGATATTTTGCAGCAAGAATTGGACCATCTCATTTTGCTAAAAGCACATGTGATGGTACACTTGCATCTTTTATGATGCGTATGTACCAAAATCTACTTAATACAAAGAGATCTGTTATGTTTAAATTCTTATTAAAATTTCTAACAAGGTTGCTTTCACAATCACTTGTTTCTTACTTCCTGATACGGGGAGGGTTAAGGCATCTGGTAAACTTCTCAGATACTTTTTAAAGTCAAGACCTCCCAAGAGCAGCCATCAGGGCTCAAAGACTTGAATTTCTCTAACAGAACAACAGGACAATGAGAGTAGTTATGTCAGAGAACTGCACCACGGTGGTCTCTACACCATGAATGTGGGGTCCACAATGAACTCTTCCAGCTGCCCTGCATCCTGCTGTTGATGGCCCATTAAGAGGGCCAGTGAGGCCAGGTGGCTACACACCCCTGAAAATGAAGAAGCAATTCACAACAGAAACAGGCAGCCAGAGGATTCTTTCAACAGAGACCCCAAAACTAGCAAATTTCTGCCCAATCACATCCCCACCTCATTTCTGACATACCATCCCTACTCCCACACTCAAGGACAAGCTGACAGACATGCCTGAGAGAATCCTCCATTCAGAACTCTGCTATTTGAACACAGTTCAGAGCACACCATGCGATTCCCACTGCCAGGCTCCAGGCATCTTGCTTAGTCACATGGCAGTCAATGTCAGAATCTGCATCCAGCTCAGAAGCTCTGAGCTCCAGAGTCTTGACAACACTCATCCACAGCACCAAACAGAACACTGAAGGTGTCTCTGCTTGGGCTGTGTCCATGCATTTTGAATGAACCCTCTTGCACAGATTTATTGAGACCAACTTGCACTCTTCCAACAAACAACCACATAATCGTAGATGAGGCCTGCTGCCATTTTGGGAACGGTGGTAAATCAGCTGGAGAAAGAAGCTTCTACTTGTTTGTTTTCCAGGAAATGGAAACAGACTGTTCACTAGCATTGGGGATCAGTGATCAAGATAGCTAAGCTGTCAGAATGGACCAATCAGGAGCCACAAAGAGATCTCTGCAGATATATCCCAAAGGCCTATTCACTTTTCAAGGGACCTGGTACCTGTCCGTCTGGACTCTGCCTGAGCCCCAAAACTCCCAAAGTAGCTGTTGTGTACATTTGGACATTGGGTACATTATTGCTCTGCTGGGGGAAAAACTGAAGGGTTTGAGCTTAAAAAATAAAGCAAGGTATCATCAAACAAACCCACAACTACCACATGGACCACTCTAGTTATGCTGGAAGAGATGGCTAAGGAGATTGTATAGCAACACCAATGGCACTCTGGAAAGTGCTCTGAAACTTAAGCAAATGTTTACTGAAGAGTTATTACATCTTCATAGTTTGTTGAAGACACTACCATGTCTTTCTATTTATATGCACTATCTCATTCAGTCCTTCCCCCAACCCCATCATTCCACTTACAGATGAGGACACTGAGGTGCAGATGTTATAAAAGTAGCCCAAGGACACACAGACCACAGCTGCACTGTCCATGCTTTTAGCTATCATCCCGAGCTGCCTTTTGTCACAGCCACTGCCTGCTACCAGCCCACTGCTTGTGGTTCTTGCAAGGAAGGTGGTCCAGGCCAATCTACTATCCATACACCCGCCACAATTGGGTTTTCAATTGGAAGTCACCCAGCAGCCTTGACAAAGATTCCTCATTGTTTTTCCATTGATTTTACAGCGCCATTCCAAGAGATGAACCTTTTTGATCATTGTGGTTTTAAGTTTAAGGAGGTTTTCACCGTCCATCTATCACAAGCAACCAGGTTATTTCATTCTCTCAGGTACGATCTCTTCTCTGTCATAAAGTTTCTCCCACACAGTGGGTTTGAAGGATTCTGTGGATGGGAGTCTTCTCTGAGCCCTCTCTGTGGAGTCTCATTGTCTGCAAGCAAATGGCGCGCATAAGAGGATGGTACAGAGGGACAGGATGCCGCAAGTGCAGGTGGTGCCAGATTGCTCATTGCTTGATGGGTCACTTCAAGATGTGACCAAGGATGAGCACCCCAGAGATTTACTCATGGATATATCTCTGGATTTGCCTCCAGCATCTCCATCAGGATTTAGACAAGGACTTAGAAGGCAAGCAAGAACCGGGACCGAGTGCAGCTGTCCCCACAGCTGCTCTTCACCCATTTGCCCCAAAAGACAAAAGGGGTTCGATGACCAATGGCAGGCAACACTTGCAAAACTTCATTGATCAGAAGTCTTTTTTTATAGATCTTCAGAGAATGTGTTAAGGGCACATTTTCGGAAGTGAGACCCAGAGATAACCTCCCATCGGGGCACTACCCTGGCTAGCCATAATATTAGGATGGCTAAGCCTGGAGGAGGGGGAGTATCTTACTGCTGGGGGAGGGTGGCTGCAGTCAACCTAGCTCTGTATCTGTTCCCTCAAGTTCCTGACACCAGCGACAGTGAATAACAGAGAAACACTCTTCCCTCCTGCTCTGTCTGGCTGACTCCTACACCGGCTCTGGACCTCAGTTCACCTGGGACTTTCTAGAGACCGCTCTCTCTCTGATGGCTTGAGCACGTCTCTCTTGCCGAGTGCCTCTTACTCCGGCATTTATCACGGCTGTAATATTAAAGGAATGCTCAGTCGATCAATGTCTACCTTGCCATTAGACCCTACGTCCCTGAAGGCAGGGAACATGTTCCCTGAAGCAACACAGAGACAATCCATGCTCTGGTCTTTCCTACTTAGAAGGCCTGGATGACTGGTTCTTGCCGAATGAAGTGGCAAGGATATTGATGCCAGTTTGAAAAGTATATAAAAGTTCAATGCTAGCAATGCACCTGTGGAAAAGCCTTTATATCAACAAGTCATACTTCTGAAGTAGCCAAGAACCACTTGGGAAAATGTTTAAAACCTAAATTCATTTGACATTAAGCAAAACATAGACATTAAGAAAAAATAAGTAAAAATAAATAGCACTTAAAATATATATACATATGTTCTGTCACATCCTTTGCAAATTCTTTACAAAGTCATGCTTCTATAATTCTATTGCAAACACAAAAACTTAATTCAGTACTGGGCCATGAAGCATGGATGCTCCATGTGTGGTCTGAAAATCATCCTTTTTTTTGGTTATATAAAAATGCAGATTCCTAATCCCCATCCTAGGTCCTCCAAATCAGAGTCTCAGAACAACGGTCAGGCGAATTCCAAGCACCTCGCATACAAACAAATTCCACAGTTGATTTGGATGTGCACTGAAATTTGAGTCAAAGGCAAAATAAAATTGAGGAAGAACATAACTATATGACCACACGGTCCAGTTGTACAGTACATTCAGGATGTTTCTATCGCCTTTGTGTTTCTAGAAGGGACACTATCATACTTTTACGCAAACCTCATACCATTCATTAAAGTTCAGTGAGGCAGTATTTATTCTTAAGATATAAATAACCGTGTAGAATCAAAAATAAATTATACACAAAATACAACATATTCTTTTCAGAGTACTTACCAGGTGTGGAGAGATAATGTGGTTGGGATACTATAAAGGAATGGAAGAAAAATCAACCACGTGTGTGGTTCACCCACAGGGATCCTGACCGAGAAATCCACCTGTGAACCCTTGCTTTTCTTACACTTGACTGTGAGTTAGAGATGTCGCAACCTCGGGGAGATCAATGTCAATAGATCTATAATCTGTTTTTGCAATTTAATTCAAATTGATAAAGATTTCTGGAGTGTCTCGTGTGTGCACCACAAAATACCAAACTATTCTCAGAAAATGTGATGATAAAAAAAGGCTCTTCAAACCTTAAAAACAAGTTCAGTGAAATATTCTTTAATAATTTGTGCATTTGTTTCTGTGTATTTCCTGCTGTAGATATTTCTTTATTTCATTAAAATAGAAATTAACCTTTCATCACTGTAGAAAAACAAATGTGGCTTGTGCAAAACTGCGGACCCATTGCTTCTCATATTTCTTTGAGAAAAGTTAGCCTATGCAGCTTGTATTAACAGGGATGAGGAGGTGAGGTTGAGGGCTTTGATTTAGTTTACCAGTTCTCAACTAAGTGAATGGAATGGTTAAAAGCCCAGATTAGCTACTGTTTGGTCATTTAGTCCAAAAAAGTCAAGTGATTTTGTGTTGACAGAGACAGTGGGAGATAAATATGTCTCTCCTTTCCCAGAAAATGACAGAGATGGTCATTAATGAGACATACTACCCTTCTAGGATTATTGGGAGATTTAAGTGAGAAAATCCAAATAAAATGTTTATCGTACTGACTGGCACATTGCCGGCAACCAACAAGTGTGAGCTACTATGGCAATGAGATTATGATGATGACCATGATTATACAATTTCCATCACTCGCTGTCTTAAGTATTTCATTATCTCATTTGGCCTCATGGCAACCCTTGATGGAAGAGTTCCCTCGTCTTAAGAGAAGTAAACTGAAGCACTTAGAGGTAAAATAACTTGCCCAAGGTACCGCTATTATTTTCATTTTCTTGACGGAAACACCAAGGTTGGAGAAGGATAGGCATCTTTACTATTGTGCCTCTGCCCTGTGCTGCATCATTTGTACCACCTCTTGGAGGCCCACCTGAGCAGATGACGCTGGCGTCTTCCCCGTGGCCACAGTTGTGCGAGAGCCAGCCGTTGTGGGGGCAGCTCCACAGGTAGGACTCGTGTCCCGAGCAGCCCACGTCGTCCAGGACAATAGGCCCTGAGCCCTGACCAAAGCGGGCACTTTCTGGGGCGGACGTGGCCCGGCCACAGCCCAGCTGCCTGCACACCACGTTGGCGTCATGGGTGTCCCAGTCGTCGTCACACACGGTGCCCCACGAGCCCCGGTACAGGACCTCCACTCGGCCCTGACACCGGCCCCCTCCGTTCACCAGCCTCAAGGCCACATCTAGAGGAAAGCACAGAGATTTCACCGTCTGTCCCTTCTGAGGGACAAGATGCCCGGCCTGCGTGAGATGCAGAGCCCTTCACAGTGAGCGGGGATCCAGAAAAGACTGGACAATCAAACGGATTCCTCGCCCTGTTTCTGTGTTTGAAATTAACAAGCTAAAGATTCTGCCTCTTCAGTGGAGTTTGGGCAACCTTGTATCCTGAGGGGCTTTCGTGGTGACATCACTTTCAGGTCCCACTTCTGTCCCCGGCCTGACCTCTCAAGTCCACTTCCAAGCAGGAAAAGCTTGTCCTGCCCGTGGCACAGCCCTTTCCCCCCACCATGGGAGCACCCACCGTGTGCCCGGCACTGCCATGGGGATTGCTCCCCACTCAGAAAGTAGAGCAATAACATTCCGGCTGTCAGCGAGAGAGCCAGGCTTGCTTCTAAAAGGCCTGTGTCCCTGCACACTTGGGACATCTCTTCTCCTCCCTCACACACACCCCGGTGCCGATTTTTAAAGTTTAATCGTGGCAGACGGTTTTGAGCATTTCCTAACATGCGAACCTCTGCTCATATTCAAGAGCTTGACATACGTCATCTTAGTTCATCCTCAAAACGACCCTGTGGGGAAACTGAGGCTTGGGAAGGTGACCCCAGATCAACTGACTACTGAGTGACAGGGGCAGGATACGTACTCAGGCTGTTGCTCTTAACCATTTCACCTTTCTGCCTCCTGATATTGTTTTTAACATTTGAACAATTTGGCCCAAGTCATGCTCTGTGCTTTGGCACAAGCTGGCACACACATGCACACACAGGACTAAATGAGACGAGGAAATAGTGAGCAGGAGAAGTTACTGTGTAAGGCATCACCTGAGGCAGAAGTATCCACCGTATTCCCATGACGTGATAAAAGTTCTAGAAAAGGATATAAAAAATAAGCGATTACATCCAGAGAGATTCGGTTAGATGCTGCTGTTCCAAACTGCCTCTGCTGCCCTCCTGACTGGCTGTAACCCCTGCTGGACACCCAGTAGGGCCGCCTGGGGGGCAGAGATCTTAGGAAAGAGGTGTGGCTACGCATAGGCAGGAGTGGAGACTTTGGGCCTCTCTCCTGGTCAGAGTGGAACCTCGCAAGGAAGGGGCTGAGAGCCCTGGTGGACCCCGTCAGAGGAGGCCCTTCTTGTCCTGCATCTAAAACCCAGCAGGATTCTCTGCAGCAGTCCCCCCTGAGTCCTTGGGGCTGGCCTTGGGTCCTACAACCTCCCAGACCCAGAGTTTAATTACCTGTTGGCGTCTGCGTCTCCCAGTAAGTGCTTACCGTAGTTGTTGCTGAAAATACAAAGAGAAAAAGGCCAAATGAGAGCTCCTCTGAAAACAAGCATTAAATCTGACCCCCTTGCTCATTTGAGCAGAGAAATGGGGCTACATCACACTTTACTTTGCAGAATTAGCTGGGCCCGTCACTCATTCGTTAATTCACTCAGCGAATATGGGCTAATCTCTGACCGCACACAAGGCACTGTGCTAAAAGTCGGGGAGAAAGAAGGGATCCATCAGAGAGGGTAAGGCTCAGTCCTCTGGAGCTCAGAGGCTACTCAGCAGCCAGACTTGGTCACTGGCCAAGGAGGAACAGAGAGTCGGGGGGAGTGGGACTTTCGGAAGGAGCAAGTCATGGGCTTGGGAGAAGGGTAGGAGGAATGCAGAACAGGGGGATACTTCAACTAGGCTTGGAAGAAGGTGTAGACATATGTCAAGGAAAAAACTCGTTAAAAGTATGTTTGCCTGGTAAAATTCAGGAAACCCAGTTAAATTTGAACTTGAATACATCCTTAGTATAAGGATATCCAAAATATTACATAGATACACTCACACTTAGGAAAAATATGTTTTTATCTGAAATTTAAATTCAAGTGTGTATATTGCATTTTTATTTCCAATATCAGGCTACTCTGGATGAAAGGCATCCCACAGGGGACAGTAGACAAGAAGTTGTCTTCACTGACCTTCATGTAACCCCCTCGCCAGATCAACGATGCTCCCCGTCCTCTCTGTAAACCTTCTGAACACTCGGGCTCATAGGCTAACTTCTAGCCACTTGGCAACTTCTGCTCCAACCAACTAAGTCGTGTGATCAACTAGAGGCACATATGAGTCCCAAATCTGTTTATGCCAGTTGTACTTGGCATTAAATTAAATTAAATATTAAGTAAATTGATGAAAATGGGTACAAAAAGAAAGAAGTCTTTCTATGAAACTAAGGCCTAATGCTTTGGAAGTAAAATCAAGTTGCCAAAAAGAAATCAGGCAGGTGAGACAGCAAAAAGTAGACGAAAGATAAGTCAAACAGCAGGAGAATTGCTGCTTTCACACTGCTGTGCAAGTGTCTTTCATTTCATGCTCCACTTTAGAGAAACTAAAATTCAAAATTATAGATATGCACAATCAGCGTGGGTTATGCAAGGAGACACTGCAGAGCCACGGAAGACCCCTACTGAGAGACAGCCTGCAGCAACAATTCGGTGAACCACAGTGTATTTATATGTTTTAAGTTAAAACAAAACATTTAAAATGAGTATGTATCATATTTTATGATTCCCCATTTGAAACAACATTTTTGAGTAACCCACCGACTACCTGTGCCAGTCACATTAGAAAAGAGTTCCTTTAGAGCAATGCTTCTCAAGGTGGGTTCCATGAGTCAGCAGTGCCAGCCAGCACCTGGGAACTTGTTAAGAAGGCAAATTCTCAGGCCTCCCGCAGACTTACAAATCAGGAACTCTGGAGGTGGTGCCCAACAATGTGTGTTTTAACAAGCTCTCCAGGTGATTCTGATACACACTAAAGTTTGAAAACCGCTGTCCTGCACCACGTGTAAAGGAATATGTGTAACAATGTGTAACAATAATTTCCACAGAGTGGTGAGGACCAGTCCACTCAACAACCACTTATTGAGCACCTGCTGGATGCTCGACTCCACCAGGCACAGCAGTGGTGAGATTCCATGAGGCCCCCTCTGTCCTTCGGAAATTTGCTCCAGTGGCTGAGACGTCCAAGTTAGCAGTGAGAGAAAAGGGACTAAGGGCTCTGATCGAGGGGCGTCCAGGAGTCTAGGGGAGGAGCACATGTGAGTGACAC